TGAAACGTGGAGGAGCTAAATTTAAAAGGAAACCAACATTATAAATTGATAATATAAACTGAACCAATTAAACCAAAAGGAACCAATTACTGATATTTGTTTATCGCCCGGGAAGGAGGAGGGGAAGGTTAAAGGATTTTGAGGGGGGAGGGGGGAGGCTCACGGTTTTCAGGAAGAAAGGAGGGGTAATCGGCCGTCACCAACAGAGTATATGACTGCTTCCCTAGGAATGACGCGCGACATCAAGTATTTCCATTGTCAGCATCACCTTCAACTGTAAGTTTCACCGTCTTCTGAGCTTTTCCCAAGATACTTGTGGCCATACAAACATAGCTTCCTGAGTCGTTATAAGTAGCATTTTTGATCTGCAATGTATTATCGTGACCGTTCATATTGACTTGTCCTGTACCGCTCATTTTACTCCAAGTTACTCTGGGTTTTGGATTGCCATCAGCTGAGCAGCTAAACGTGGCGGTCTGGTTCTCAGTGATTGTATGTGAGGCAGGAGAAACATCAACTTTTGGAGCAGATATGGACTGGCCAGGTTCACCTTTAGGTCCCGGATGACCAGGAACTCCTTTGTCGCCTTAAAGAATAGACAGGCATATAGCAAACGCTTAAACGGAAGTGTAGGGAAATGTCTTACAACTGTCGGAGCGAAATTATATGGCGTAGTAAAGATTGGCTATGAAGACATGGAGGAAGCCTGCTCACCCTTGGGCGCAGATCGCATCCATTTTAAATTTTATGATAGATTTGTGCCCGACAATGAACCTCCAGATTTTTTTTAAAATTTTTTAAGATTTTGCTAGCCTTGGCATCTTATCAGAAACTTATTGTTCAAAGTTAAATTTGTTAACTATATTAGACTTACGGATTACGAACAAATTCCATCCCAAGAAAAAAAAAAAAAAGAAATTAACCGCCACAAGTTGAAGATACATTTATTGTAACAGATAACAAGAAGATCAAGAATAATCAAGAAACGCTTATGATCTCTTGGTTTCAATCTTGCAATTGTGGTTTTAGATTCCAGCAAAATTTCCACTCATTTTGTTCCTAATGACAATGACTATTATGAATAAGGAAAGACAGAAGTAAAATGTCAATAGCTCTTGATTCATACCCTTTTCTCCCTTCATTCCAGAGACATTCTCCCTAGAGACATGGAGGAAGCCTGCTCACCCTTGGGCGCAGATTGCATCCATTTTACACCCTATGATAGATTTGTACTCGACAATGAACCTCTAGATTTTTCTTGTTTTTTTTTAGATTTTGCTAGCCTTGGCATCGTATCAGAAACTTGTTATTCAAAGCTAAATTTGTTAACTATATTAGACTTATAGATTACGACCAAATTCCTTCCCAAGAAAAAAAAATTAACCGGCATATAGAACTTGGTGAAATATTTTTCCACAAGTTAAAGATACATTTCTTGTAATAGATAACATTACGTCTCAATCAAGAGACGCTAATGATCATTTTGTTTCAATCTTGCAATTGTGGTTTTAGATTCCAGCAAAATTTCAACTCATTTTGTTCCTAATGACAATGACTATTATGAATAAGGAAAGACAGAAATAAAATGTCAATAGCTCTTGATTCATACCCTTTTCTCCCTTCATTCCAGGATTTCCAACATCTCCTTTCATTCCTGGTTTTCCAGATTTGCCAGGTGATCCCATAATGCCTTTCCCTCCCGTTTTTCCTTTAGATCCTCTTGGACCTCGTTTACCGCGATTTCCCGGAATTCCCCTTGGTCCCCGAGGTCCTGCCACACAGACTTTACCAGGGGAGAGGCAGTAAGTCCCTATGGACTCAGTTACAATAGAGGTCATGTACTTCCTGAAATCAGTGTCGGCTTCTGCTTGATTAACTGAGTCGCTCCGATTAGTCGTTAAGCTGCGGCGAACAATTTTGACGTCCTGTTTTCTACCTAAAGAAAACGGAAAGGGTTAACCGTTTTTGTTTTGTTTGTTTTTTTTTTTACATTGATCATATCAGATTTAAGCTTCACAAAGGGCTTTTTATTCCATGACCGAAACAAGGAAAACACGTTTTTTGCCACTTATTTTGTTCGGAAATCTTTTGTTTAAATCCTTTTCAGCAAAGGACGAGTCAAAGAGAAGCCACTGATTTGTTTGAAAAAATCTATTGAAAGATAAGTATACAATATGCAGTCGTGACTTATTTCAATAAACGGGTCAAGTTTCTGATTAAGGTCAAATCTGTGTTGTCAAAACTTCACTCAACATATCGCAATCAAGAGAAATGCCCGAATACATTTCAGTTGTTCATAGGCTGATTTACATTAAAATGTGATACACACAAGCACTTCATTGGATTGATTTTCTTAAGTCCATCAAATGCATGGGGTTGGTTATCTGTTTTCTTTGACTAAAAGTGGTCGCAACCGACTGCGCTCGGCTTACTTTCGTATAGGTCTAGTACAACCCCGCCAACCAAACGCTTATTCGTCGAGTTCAAGCGACGAGCAGTTGTTAAGAAAATTCTCTTCTAAATGACCTACTCTTGAAAAGGTCTGAGTCTTTACGAAGAACTTGGCAAGCAGCCCTCACAGATTCGAGAGCATTCCCCATTTCTTGAATTTTCAGCATAAATTTTGAATCCAGCATTTTTGAGTTTGTCTCCGTTCTTACAAAGAGAGAAACCGTCATCAGAATGGCTGCAACAGACAACAGCGATGAAACCTTTTGAAGACGGTCACCAAGTTTTCCTCTTGATGGAATTTTCGTTTTCTGTGCGTTGACATCCATGATGTTTTCCTTGCGCGCCTCGCTGTAAGAAGAAAAGGCACAAAACAAACTCGTCAAACTCACGGTACTGATGATCATTAAATTACTGCTCAAGGTTTCGTTTACCGTTTCAGCCCTCAAGAAACTGCGAAATAAAGAACCACTACGGTTAATCGCATTCAAAGTTGAAGGCAGTCTAAATTCTTAATGAGTTTTATAATAATCCGGCTTCGTGCATCATTCAGTATCAATGATAAAGACATTGGTAATTAGTTCTTTCGTCGGCGTGCGGTTTTTAGCATTTCTCCAATATACTTACCATCTAACAAGGGAAGATTTTCCACTCGGTTTTTCCGCTTCCTTCCTTCTAATAAGGAAACCTTAGTAGTGAGACGCGGCCTTTTCACGTGATGCTGTCTGTCATCAGTTCTTTGTCACAGCGTAGTACGTGAGGGTTCATGTGTACGGAAGTTATCACAGCTGGAAGTATTTAATATTTTGTTTGTGATCTTTTTCAGAAGTAGTCCTGATTTTCAAGCTAGCTTCTGATCAACTTGCATTTAGCGTCTCAGGAAAAATTTGTTTTATGTCGGGATTCAACCAAACGGGATGTTCTAAACTGTAGATATTTTTAACGGAGGTGTGACATTTATTTGCGTTTTGATCTTAGATCAAGACCTACTTCATCATGGTATCTATTACAGTTTCAGCAAAATTTTCATCAATTTCCATTATATATATATATATACCGTCTAAAACTGAAGTGTCCATATTCCTTTCAGTTTTCGTGTTTCTGTTCATCAAAGAACGAAACCTTAAATTTTGAAGCGACCTTATTTTTCACCCGTTCTTTATCACAGCAGAGTACGCGAGCGTTCATCGGTTTACGGAGACTTCCAGACCTGATAGGAACGTCATCCTTCCCTCGTAATCTTTCTTAGAACCTGTCTTGATTGTCAAGTTAACCTCTGTACAAGCTTGGGCTTAGTATTCTAAAAATAAAATTGGCTAATCAACCTATTTTTATCTTCATTCTGAGGAACAGCGCGATTGTTGAAATTGCAAATACTACCGACAACACCAAGGAAGCCTTTTGAAGCTTATTGCATTTCTTAGCATGTCTCACTTTTATTTCATCTACGTGTACATCCATTACTGTTTGACGATTAACAATTCTGGGATAATGTAGTGCGCAAAAAACTTGATTGAGCTCAGCTTTCAAGAGTGAGAAAAAGCCTATCAAACCGGTAACGCATGTGAACATGATCATTTATTTCATCAGATCGACTGTCTCAAAGAAAACAGCGAATATAATAGTATCATTAAAAAAAACACAGGCGCCTGAAATGTCATAACCTGTAACTCAAATGGTTGGAGTTACCAGGGATTCAGGCAAGGAAAATCAAGGGGTTTAAGTTAGCTGAGTCTAAGTTAACAGGGTTCCACTGTAGATTGCCTCTCATGAGCCAATAAATAGATAAACATTAAAGGCATTTGATCTGGAAATATCCTTTTTCACTTCTCTGCATTCATGAGGTTGTTGGCGGAATAATACTGCTGGCATGTAAGGTGGTGGGTGTCAGTGGAGCCACTGTCGTTATCGGGATTTTGACCCTCTTGTTGTAGACATATATATCCGAGATAATAGCCTGGAAAATGATACAAATGCCTACAAATGCCATAAAAGTTATCTTCTTGGCTTCCTGGAAAATGGAAAAAAATAAGATAGATGTCAGAATTCTTGGTCTTCAGAAGGGAACAAAGAAAACTTTGATTCAACATTCTGAAGATTCGAACTTCAGTCAGTTCTGATTTCTCAGTCAGATGCTCTATTAAAGGGAATGCTTTAAGAGGTTGCTGCACATCCTTCAAGAAGTTGTGTCAGAAAACTCCTAAAAACCATCCAATTCTGGCCTTTGCCGCTACACAATTACCTGTAAATTAGTTGCCAGAATTTGGTGTAACATTAAGATAAAGAGTTAACCCCCAGAAGTGGCTAACGTGTAACTTCTCCTTATGATATGCATAAGTATTTGAGCAAACGGTCCATGAGAATCACTGAAACTTATCAGGTAGAAGTTGTTATCTTGATTGAACACCAAATTCTCTTAACTAAATTACAAGAAAATGTGTAGAAGCTAGAGCAGGGTTTGAGCTAGTATTTGATCACTGGGGGACAATTTGTCCCCTTAGCAAAAATTTTGGCGGACATTTTCATTTTTAGGGGGACAGACATATTAATTTTTATTCGACATTTTCTTTT